ACAAAACACTACCAACCCCTCCCTCCCGAGAGACCTTTCTTTAGGATAGGATGTGAGCCCACTCACCCTTCCCTCCCCTCCCACAAAACACTACCAACCCCTCCCTCCCCCGAGAAAAAAGGTGTATTTTCTGCACAGTTACTCCTCGCCAACGTTCATGGAATTTGTTATGATCTTTTGTCACGGGTCTTTTCTAAAAGGCCAATAATGGACAATGACTTCTGGCCTAGTTTGGGTAAAATTGCCTCATAAGATGTCGAGTATACCCAAGCTAGACCAAAATCCCCTTGTTTACAAACTTAGAAAAAAGGTCTTACCAAAAAGTTTATATTTCACCTGAAAATTCAAATGATTTCCCTAAAGTCTGCTAAGATTATCTTCAAGTAAGAGATAATTTTACTTATCCCCCTTATGCCAAATGCCAAACAAATTTTATTGATTTTTACGAAATTCCTATTACAGAGTTTTTCTTTTTTTGCCAAAAAGATTACGATACAAAATCTAAATATTCCGGCTTTTAAAAAAATTCACCATTCGGATCATTAGTTATGATTTTTTAAATGAACATTTTTGATGGCATACCAAAGGTTCTGACGTTGTCATAGCAACGTCTGACGTCGTTTTTTCATGTTCATTGTGATTTTTGGTTTATGGTCTTTGGCTTCCGGGTTTACTTGCTGTCATATTATAGCCATATTAACTTTTTTAGTTCATAATTGTAAGTGTATGTGAAGGGACAAAACACTTTCCAACCTCCTTAAACTCGGAATATCTTACAAGTAGTTCATGTCAGTCGTTGGTTCCACTTCACTTTCTCAAAGAGTACTTTCGGGACCTTGCCTGGCACCCGCTATATTGGGTCCGCTTAATAGAGGTATCGCTGTATTGTCAAATAAGAGACAATTCTACTCACCCCCACCCCGAAGAGTGAGCTGACTGGCTTGTGATCGCTGATCCTCAGCGTCGGATGACTACGGTATTTGATGAGTTTGATATTATTGCCTCGAAAGAGGATACGATCACACCACGCTGGAGCTCTTCCCTTCTCGCTTAAAGGCAATAATAAAATAACTGTTTTAAATCTCACGTTCTGATTGGTTGGGAGCGAATGTTTTATGAGAGCACACAGCACGCGCGCGCACTTTCAGTTGCGTCATGCCTATCTACAATAACGGTTATTGTAATTTGTATTTTATAAAAGAAATAAAAAAACTTGCTTGCTGTGCAGTGTGGAGTCATAAAGCACTTAGGGGTTAGCTACGCGTCGTGCTTCTCCTAACACTTCTCTTCGTGTTCTGCCAACCCCCGCGTGCTTTATAACTGCACACAGCACGCGCGCGCGTTTTCTATTACTTCACTATTCAGCGGACACTTTTAGGACGTTACCTGATGTTCGCTTGGAAGAAGTTCATTGTATTGTGGGGATACTGTTGGGGTGTTTTCGGCACCTTGCAACTAGCTGTCCGCGTTCGTTGAATTGATGTTTGTTTTACAGTTAATATGGAAGGAAAATTTAGACACCGTGGAACTAGATGAAGGGTTTCTAGCGAATTCGCAGAATAGGTTCGTTTTACAGTAAATATGGACAGGAAATTTCGACACCGTACAACTAGCTGTCCGACTAATGAAGGGTTTTCAATATATGAGTATAATGGGCTCTTTTCTTGAATTTATCTTGAATGCGAGGCTAACATGGAAATACGAAAGAAATGCCACAATTTTCATCGAGAAAAAGTGCGATTTCTATTTTATTTTCATGTTCACTTCTCATCCAAGTTCTTTTTGAGAAGGGTTCGTTCCCCAGCTTATGAGGACTATTTAGATTACCTCGAGTCCCAGTTATCAGATCCAGGATTATATTTATACGTTGGTTTAAAAGTAATAAGTCCTTCGTTGAACCCCACGAAGCAGTTTTCCTGTTGTTTTTGAACGAGCAGTTGATCTTTCTTAAGCAGTACATCCAGACGTCCTTCCTCGATGAGAATCTTGGTCTGCTCAACATCCATGTCACTGATTCGGTAGTTAAGATCTCCAAGCCAGAACACAATACTATGAAGATAGATAAATGAAAGGTTAACGTGGTATAGGAAAACACATGTTCTACGCAATACTAGGGATCTTAAGGTGAAGGACGGCAACGACGACCACGACGGCACGGCTACCTTTCAAGATAGCGCAGGGAACTGTGAAGGGGACTATTGCCAAAGGTGTTAAAAAGGTCTCTATCATTGCAAGCTCATCCTTCGTTTCACTTCGATGCAAATAGGCACGGCTATCTTTCAAGATGGCGCAGGGAACTGTGAAGGGGACTATTGCCCAAGGTGTTAAAAAGGTCTCTATCATTGCAAGTTCATCCTTCGGTTCGCTTCGATGCAAATAGGCACGGCTACCTTTCAAGATGGCGCAGGGAACTATTGAGAACAGGCTTGACGAGCTAGTATTACAGCTAGCGCAAACGAACTTGTTGGTAAACTTTGACATGCGAGCGAACTTTTGAACGCTCAAAAACGGAATAGTGATCTTTAGAACAGTTTTCGCATGACTGCGAAAAGCACAGTGCAGTAAGCGTGCAGTGCCGTAATGTTTTCTAGAATTTTAACCGCAATGTGATTGGTCTGTCAATGACGTGATATTTGGTGACCGTGACCATGCCATGTTTTGGGTTTTTGATTGGATGAAGAGTAAATTCTCGAGCAATGTGATTGGTCTGGCAGTGACGTGATATTTGCGTGACCATGACCATGCCATGTTTTAGGTATTTGATTGGATAGAGTAAATTCTCGAGCAATGTGATTGGTCTGGCAGTGACGTGATATTTGCGTGACCGTGACCATGCCATGTTTTAGGTATTTGATTGGATAGAGTAAATTCTCGAGCAATGTGATTGGTCTG